ACTCAGAGAGCCTCTCGTGCTTCCCATCCATCCGTGGGCAGCCAAAGCACCTACTGTGGGAGCGCCAGTGCTCCTGACAGGACGGGGTAACGCTTCGAGATCAGTTCTGTGTAAGGAGCTCTGACTGTGTCACCTCTCAGATTATGTGAGTAAGGGCTGGTCACGGTCACCCAAAGGGGCAGAGGAGTAACAACAGATGGGGCGCTCCGATGACCGAACCAGCGTGATGCTGCCCTGGCTGGGCTGCTCCTAGAGCTTTCTGAAGAGTGGGGTCGGCCCCTGGGCCCAGGCCCCAGTCTTGGCTCGGCTCCCCTCCCGAGTGAGGCAGGGGGGCTCCTGGGATGCCTGCAGACTGAGGAGGATCCCCACCTGGAGGGGTATTGGGCTTACGGTGGCATACGGGGGACGAGCATTCGGGCCTGTGTAAAACCTACTGGGAGAGCCTTTTGAGGGGACTGTGGGAATGCGTGAGATGTATTATGGGTTGTTTAAGGGAAGCACCAAACGTGGGGAAGGAGTCAAGGTGGACTGGGAGGAAAAAGCACGGGAACGTGGAAGGAGAATCAGGGTGAAGAAGGTGGTCGCACGTGAATGTGTTGCCGGTTGGTAGCCTTTATCTCTGCAGTCTGTCCTGTCTCGCTAAACTCCATTTCTAGTTTTCTTCTGGGGTGAGGGGACCGAGTACCCTGCAGGCCTATGTATGTCTGGAGGTCTACGCGCCAGCAACTGGCGTCAGGCCACAGGTCAAAGGGGCCAGTGTATACGTGGTAGCAGCAAATGGGAAGACCGGAGCATGCGTAGAGGGGGGCTAGGCTAGGGTGGAATGCCAGTGTGTGTGATCGCTGGCGAACGAGCCAGACTGGCGAGCGAGTAGGATAATGGGCTCTGGAGCCAGGTATCCAGGACCAGATAGGGGAGAGATTGGGGTCGGCAGGTTGCTTACTGGAGGTAGGTTTAAGCCAGCTTACTGGAGAAAATGGGGTGGGCATCCGAGAGTTGGCTACCGGAAGGCCATGTGCCTGGATCAGTTAGTAGAGAGATTAATTTCTCCCTCTCTCCCTTTCCGAGTGAGAAGATTTGAGTAAGAGCAAGTTGAGTAGTACTGCGGACCTCAGGTGTTCACGTGCCCCGGTGCCAGGAAATCCAGTGGCTAGTTAGCGGACCGACTGAGTGTTTAAGGCCAGCTACCGAAGGGATTCGTGTTTGTGTGCGTTGTATACGCATATATGTTTATATAGATGCACTCTACTAGCAGACTTCCAAACTGATCGGCCGGAGAGGAGGAAGAGGATTCGGCCACTTGTACCATTCACGTTTGAGTGCTGTGTGTTTTCCGTGTTGATCGGTGTTGCTGGACATGTGCATTTTTGCCTACCGGGAATACGTTCCCAGCCTCGCTGCTGGCTGGACTTGGGTGCGTGGAAGCACAGCAGCCTCACATCTATTAAGGTACCGGACTCGGCAACTTCTGCTGTCACCCATCTCAGCGTCCCTGTCTTTGCTGTTGCGTTATTCCGCTTTTCACTCCTGTTAATCTCGCGCAGACTCTTTAACCTGGTACTCCAATGGCTGTTACGTGTTTTTTCTGCCAGGTAGGTAGTAATTCTGTGGTGAACTATGGTGCCAGATACTGCTATATAAACAATGATCTGTATTTGAGGAAAAGGTAATTGCAGCCTGCAGGCTCTTAGTTCCATGTTAATCTAAGGCTTTTTACTGATGTCCTCTATCGCGCAAGGACACAGCAATCCTTACTCTGCTAGCCTGTTCCAGACGTGTCCTATTCCACAAAGGCAGGCAGGAAGGCAGATGATAAAGATGTTCAGAAATAAAAGCCCTGCGGTGGGAACGTTCCCGGTAGCTGTGAAAGAGGAGGGGGCAGAAATGATCAGCCCCCTAGCAGGGTAGAAGGCCACAGAGATGGATCGCGTAACCTAGTTTCGCTACGTGTCAATATTCTTGAGGCAAAGCACTGAAGGGGAAAGGGTACCACGAGTTTATTCTCGGAGTGCTCTGAGTTTTGGATATGCTTTATAACATGTTACTCTATGTCCGCGGACCAAAGACAGGATTGGAGAAGCCAGGAGAGGATTCTGGTTTACTTGTTTTGCTGTACAGAGTCTCACAGAAATTGAAGTTCCTGTTTTTTCTCTCTCTCTCTGGGAACAGTAATATGCTTGTTAGACGTATAGAGATTTCATCTTTCCCACTTTCTCCAAGTACCGTGAGTAAACGTTTGGGTCATTTACTTCCCCTCCGAAAGGTATTCCCAGTAACAATGATGTCCCAGTAGCAGTGAATCTTTTCTGTTAGCAGAATTGGACAAAAGCCTTCTCTGCAAGGGAGGGGGAGGGGGGGGGGAGGGGGG